TACATTGATGGTTAGAATTGAGATGTATTGACTTACGGTTGCCATGTTATTTACCTGTTGTCGTTTACTCCTTTTTCTCCTGTGTTTAATTGCTACATTAAGCTTTAATCACAAAGTATACCAAGGGTTCAATCCCCAGGCCTGCTGGGCCAGCCCCACCCCTAGGGTATGCTGAGACTGCAATTGAGGCTGGGTGTGGTGGCGCATACCTGTAATCCCAGCACTTGGGAAGCTGTAAATAGGAGAATCACTATGAGTCTGATCTAGTAGTGAGATCCTGAACACCCTGCAGACCCTTCTCTCAAATACAAAAAAAAAAAAAGTATTGCACATACATACTCACCAAAGTTATTTTAAAAACTATGATTTTGAAGTCAGTATTTCTTTCAATTTTGAATTCTAATATGATATGATAGAAAAATGACTTGGTAGAAAATCACTCCCAAGTTAAAGTCCTGACTCTTTCCAAATAATTATGTGACTTTTAAGCTACTATGTCCTACTAGGACTCTGAAAGCCTTACTTAAAAAGTGAGATAGTCAAACTAGATTAGGAATGACCTCTTAGATACTGGCTCTAGAGGACAGATAGAAGCTGTGTGACACATTGACTTGGAAAGGTGTCCGAAACTGCGTCAACACTTAGCAATAAAGACTATTCAAACAGGTTAGTGCTGTCTTCCACAGGCAGGAAAACAGTGGTAATAATTGTTTACCATTGCTGGACTCCTGAACTATAGCATTCTGTGGTGCATTAAATGCATTATCATGTGCTCATACATCATGATTTGGGCCTGCGAAAGACACTGTAGCCATTTTTTTTACCCCTTAGTTTGTCCAACTTCCATTACTTTTTTACTATGGAAATGGAGTCTGACATCACTACCTCTGTGGCTCTATTCAGTGCTAGGCCTATGCTTTTCTGCTTAACTTTGTAATATGATTCCATAAAAAACATACCATTTAGGAACATAGACAATTGATTATAAAAAAATGTTTTCATACATTTGGAACTACATTATTTACTGAGTATATGAGGCTCCAAATAGAGTCTACAACATTTTGAGCTGTTACAGCACTCATTTTCAAGCCAGGTCTACTGGTCCATTATGCTGGATTCAAATACCACATTTGCAATATTTCTCACCACCCACGTGCCTAAGCTTAGCAAGATATCAAGGAGAAGCAATAGAAGGGAAACACGCAGGCCAGCAGTGCTCCTTAAAGGCATAAAAAAGCAAATGGCACAGGCACAGAGGCAATGTGCTATACATATTATTTTTATATTAGGGTATATTGCCTTAAAAACTCAGTCACAGAAATGTATGATGGCATTAGGCAGACTGGTGACAATGCAGGGAGTGTTTGGGCAAGTGTGATCTCCCACAACATGCAGCCTGGAACATTGAATCCAGTCACACCTTACTGCATAGCCAGAAGATACAATATGGTGAAAGTCACTTTCAACACACTTGCAGGAGTGCAGAAGGAGGCAGGGCAGCGAGACATGGAGGCCTTCATGAGTCACACAGTTAGAGCACAGATCCTGACCGGCAAGGAGCTGCAAGTTGCCACCCAAGGAAATGAGCGCACCTCTGGGAGATGTATGCTTACTCTCTTAGGCCTTTCATTCACCTTGTCAGGACTTATTGTTGGTGGAGCCTGAATTTACAAATACTTTATGCCCAAGAGTGCCATTTACCATGGAGAGATGTATTTCTTGGATTCTGAGGACCCTGTAAATTCCTTTCATGATGGAGAGCCTTACTTCCTACCTGTGACAGAGGAGGCTGACATTCATGAGGATGACAACATCACAATCATTGATGTGTCTGTTTCCACTTTCCCTGATAGTGATCCTGCAGCAATTATCCCTGACTTTGAAAAGGGAATGACTGCTTACCTAGACATGTTCCTGGGGACCTGCTATCTGATGCCCTTGAATACCTCCATTGGTATGCCTCCAAAGAATCTGGTGGAGCTCTTTGGCAATCTTGCAAGGGGCAAATATTTGCTTCATACTTATGTGGTTCATGAAGATCTGGTTGCTACTGAAGAAATTCATCATGTTAGTAATCTAGGAACCTTTATTTATCAACTTTGCAAGAACAGAAAATCCTTCCGCCTTCGTCACAGAGTCCTCTCGCTAGGTTTCAATGAGTATGCCATTAAAAAGTGCTGGAAGATTAGACACTTCCCCAATGAATTTATTGGTGAGACCAAAATCTGTCAAGAGTGAGACAACAGATAAGAATATCCTTGATTATAAGAAGTTGGAGATTTACAATATGACTTCAGTGTTAAAGATATGCAATACTCAATAAAAAAAGAAATGTATGCCAATCAGTTTTGTAAAATACAATAACTCAATCTTCCCCAAAGCCTCAAAGTCATTTCTTTTCTAATTGGCTGCCATAAATGTGCCTCTGCTTGCACCCCTCAAGTGGATTCAAACCCTTCTCCTTAGGACATGACAATTCTCCCTGTTGCCCTGACTTCTGGTAACACTGCTCTGAGCATTGTTGAGAGCTTTCATCGGTACTTCAAATGAAGTACTAATGAAAGCACCTTGCAAACTCTTGATCACACTATCCAGAGAAGGTATCGTTGCTGCTTTGTCCCTGTTCACAACCATAGAAGTCCTAAAAAGGAAGAGATGAGGGCATCTTATTATCATGCACAAGCCTGACTTAAGGTCAAAAAACCAAAAATGTGGTCCACTGAACATTTAGCAAAACACCTTCAAACTCCAAAGGCATCAACCTACAAGCCAGTGACCTTTGCAATTCATGTCCTTCATTATTGTGTTTTTAGGAAATGTTGATTTAATTTTTTAAAAAAGTGACCCTTCCAGAGGCTATCTAGCAATTGTGTGGTGTCTGTGGACACCGCTTCTTTTTCCTTTGTTTGGCAGACCCCTGGAGTAACACTGCCTGGGTTTTTTCCTTACTTCACTTCCCTATCTCCCTTATTCTCTGTAACCACTTCCACTCCATTGCCTTTTCCCCAGAATCTGGGGAATCTCTCCAGCTGGCTCTCCATATTTGCCCTGCAACTATCCATAGGATCTCCTGTACTTCTTCCACTTCTAATACATTACAAATTCTACCCATCTATTCTTTATTTCAAAGCCACCGTGCTTGCTTCTATCTGGCTTCTTTTTTGATTTTTGCCTTCCTGTAAGCAAGTTTAGTTTGCTATTTATTGTCTTATCTCATCTTTAATCTCATGTTTCATAGAATCCAGGCTTAATTGAATTTTATTGAAAGGACAAGCAGATGCTGCCTTAAATTACTTTTGCTTCCTACGGTAAATCTTTTTCAAGTATGTCCTTCCTTTGCCTCCTGTGAGCTCTGTTTTTCTTTTATGCTTCAGAGTCTTTTCATAGGCCCCAAATTGATGTGTGTGGGTTTTGCCTACAGTTTACTCATCTTCAAAAATGAAAATTCTACAGTCCTGAAATCTCCACAAGAAACAGGTCTAATAAAATGTTAAAATGAGACTGCCCTGAGTTTAAGCCAAAGCCCCCAGCTCCCAAGGGACAACCAGGAGCAGCTACACCATTTCCTGTGCTCAGTTCAAAGTCAGAATGCAGAGTTGTTTGTTCAAAATTATTTTAAGCCTGAGATAGCAGCAGTAGAGCACAAATTCAAGTTCAGAACTCTTCTGAGTGAGAAGTCCTATGTAACTGCAAAGGTCCAAGTCCAGGAAATCAAGCCTTAGTGGAATGACAGACCCAACACAAAACAGGATGCTGAATCATAAAATAGCACTGAAAAACATACAAAATACATTTCCAAATCTTGATCTCTTTCTTACCTAAAAGATACAAAGGGTTGAATTTAAAGTGGCTGAGAAATGAGTTGAAATTTGGAAGATTTCTGAACGTAAGCATCAGTGTGTTCTGAGAGCCCCTACGTGGCTTCCAGAGATCGCTTGAATAGGTTTACACAGGAAGGCACCATAAGGGAGGAGTAGTGAGTGAGAAAGCCTTCCTCATCCAGAAAACGGAGGTAATATGTCCTCAGGAGAAAGTAGCTGAGAGTGTACTGAAGTGTTCTGTGAAGGCAGTGTTAGCTTTGAATATCTGCCAAGCTGAGAAGGTACCAGGTTGTAGCAATGCCAGTGAAAAATGTCCCTTCTGCCCTTGTTCCAAATCTGAGAGTATACTTACATGGCAAGGGAGATACCATGATCACCAAAACTGAGAGAGAGACCTAAGGAGCTAGCAGAGCAGGGGAAGAGAAAAGAACAGCATTCGGTTGAGGTTTGGACTCTGAACCAGTAATAGAAGTAATGGGACTATTCTTTGATCCTAAGTGACCAATAGGTGTCTCGGCCTCATAGGTCACATGATGATGCCTCGTTCCATCAACAGCACACTGTGCGTATGGCAGTGGCCTCTAAGATCATCATGAAACTAAAATAGGAATTCCTATATGACAAAGAGGATTCCTAGCAGAATAAGAGGAAACAGCAGAAGAAAAACACAAGAAAATTGGCAGTGAAGGCCTTCACAGAATCATTTGCAGGCCTTGACAAGCTCCTTACCCAGGGTGGAAACATTGACTTCAGCGCAGAAGGTTTTCATGACAAAGAATATTCATGGTGCATTACCTGCTTACTAGCAAAGCTGTGATGCAGAAAGGAGACCAAGCATGGGCAAATCATGGACAAGTTCCTGAAAAGAGTGACACATCCTCAAGAAAAGCTCCAGGCAGGTCTCTCAGGGGGATTCCAGAAGAAGGCAGTGTTACCATAGAAGGTGACAGTGCTAGGCATGTGATGGTCCCGGAAGGCTTTCCCATGGGGCAAGATGTAGCAGTGGAAGACAGCAACAGTGACAGTCCTGACCTTGTGGAGACCGAAGTTAATATGTGTGTTTGTGACTTAGATTTCAATGTTAAAGATTTAAAAATAAAATTTAAAATTTAAAAATGTTTAGAAAGATAAAATTTTTCATACAGCTATAAAATTTTTGTATTTCAAGCTAAGTATAAAAGATTTTTTAAACACTGAAATTTATCAGAAAGTTGTAGTAAATTTAAGAATGAAAAATTTATCGATAATCAGTTCAGTGTCATGTAGACACCCCACGTATGTGGTCTATCGTGGTGTTCAATGACATCCTTGGGCTTCACTTGCCTCTCACTCACTGACTCACCCAGAACAATATCTGGTCCTATAATTCCCTTTCTTGCCGAGTTCCCTGTATCTTTTACCCTGTATTTTAACTGTACATTGTATATGGCTAGATAACCAAATATCATTGCATTACAATTGCCCCATGATAGGTAGCTAAGTAACATGCTGTATAAGCTTATGGACGTGGACATACAGATTACTCCATAGAGATCATCTAGGCTTGGTTAGTGTCATCTAATATGTTTACCCAAAAAAAATATAAATAAATAATAATAATAATAATAATAATAATAATAATATGTTTACCCAGACAAAACATCACGTTACTGTATTTCAGAGTAACTAGACCAACCAAACAATGCACCATGGGCCAATAAGAAACAAAATACCTTGAGCCTGTGTAGAACTGTCCTATACTTAGACCTAATCAAGCTCTGCTCATTAAAAGGGTTTATAAATCTTTTCAAATGCCACTAGCTCTTGTTGGATCTTTAAGTTGAATACTAGTTACTGTGTGTGTGTATGTGTGAGAGAGACAGAGACAGAGAGACAGAGAGAGACAGAGAGACAGAGACAGAGACAGAGAAAGACACAGAGACAGAGAGAGAGAGACAGAGAGAGAGACAGAGAGATCCACCTCACAGAAAGCTGGAAGAGTGGAGTCTCAGGCATCTCCATTCTGGAGAAGCTTCAGTCCAGGTACCATACTTGGTGAGCAACCCATCAGCTGCCTCAAGGGAACTTCTCAGCTCCCTACTACACCTCCTTACCCACCAGACCCAATTTCCCATCTCCCTGAACCCAAGAATTTTCTATTTCTTTTTTTTTTCCTTTCTACCACAGGTAGGGTCATTTATGTTGGAGGAGGTGGATTTAGGCGATATTAAAATGCAAAAATTATATAGTAGTGCTTACTTCTTAGCTACATTAGAAGTTGTGTTCTGAATAACATACTTGAATATCATCTTTGAAGTAAACACCATGTTAAATTCCCTGATGATATTGTCCTTAATATGTACGAAGGTTGTTTTATACTAACCAGTTGATCTCTCAAAGGGATGACTTTTTCCATATTCTGTGTACTCTTGAGCATGTTGTCTTTTTAAGAATTTTCTATTTCCGGGACTGATACCTGCAATGCTTCCACTTCAGGAACACCTTACTTTACTGTTAACAAAATTTGGAGGGAAAAGTGCTGCTAGCCACACAGAGTTTTAACTGCTAAGAATGCATATTACTACACTTCTCCTTTGTGCACATCCCCCTTTGTATACTTCCTTGATTAACATATATCTGCCACCACCTGTCCCTTTCTTCTAGCTCCAGCCCCTTTGCCCCGAATTAGAGAACTGGGTGCCAATTCTGAAGATACAATCAGCATGATCTGAGAGCATTTGAAACTCCAGTGCCCGGCCTGCCCCAGAGCATTGCCCCCAAAGAACTGTAGAGTGTGGCCCAGACATCTGGTCTCTGCACTTCTCTCCGGGCAAGCTTAATGTACAGCCAGGGTGACTTCTAGGTTATTCCTTTTTTGGTGCAATCCAATGTCATCCTGCAGAAGTCCCTCATAGCTTTTGACATGTGAGTGACAATGCTTCCTGTTTTTTAGTGCTAACATGAGAATTTTTTTATTATTACACTGAGATCAATTCACATTTGTCTGCAACACAATGAAGACTCCCCTGTCAGTGTGAAGAAATAACTATACAGTATGCGGGAAATATAAAATCATTCTTCTTGGAGCTTGTAAAAACAAGGCAAAGCTCTATTATTTTCCGCAGCTGCTTAGGTGGACAGTTACTCAGTCCTGACCCTCTTTAATGCTATGGATTTATACTGGAATCCTAATCAATCATCAGAATAAGAGGCCTTTTATCTTTAAATGTTCTCCACAGGCAATCCTTTCTTAGAAGAGGAACAGAAAGGAAGTGTTGTCCCTGTGAATAACAAGTAAATAAATATGAATCCCTGGTGATCTAAATTCCACATCTCTCCAAAATTACAATATTTTATTGATTTTTGCATTAGAAAAATACATTGTTTATTCTAATAGATAAATTCAAGACTACCAAAGACTGTAGAACTTCTCCCAGG